AATTAGAGATATCTTTAATTACAATTTCTACTAGTCAAAACCCATTTGAAGATATCCGAAAATATTTTCCAATGGAAGTCAATGGAAGATTATGACTAGTCGTAATAGCATTGTAGATATCTTGAATGTATATTATGACTAGTCAAAATAACATTGTAGATATCTTCAATGCATATAATGACTGGTCATAATCACATTGTAGATATCTTAATTCCAATTACAACTAGTCAAAATTGTAGAATAGATATCTGGAATTGGAATTTTGACTAGTCAAAACTAAATTATGACTAGTACAGCAAGAAGTATTTAATGCTAAAACGGCTTGCCATAGCAACAGCTCTACACTGGACATGACAAAGCGACTGTTGTAAATAATTTGAACTTTGTCAGTACCTCATAAGTAGAACAAGGCATCAGTTTAATGTCGGGTTTTGTCATGTTGCGCCGCGCCGCATCTAGTGTAGACAGCGCCACTGATTGTAATGGGTTCTACGCTCTGATCTATATAATGACTGTTATTAATGTTCTCTGTTATAGATCAGTGTTCAGATCAGATTTTTTTATAGGTTTAAAGGGGGGCGCGACCAAAAAAGTTTGAGAACCACTGGTCTAAAGTTAACAGACAGTTTAAAAAGTGCAGTCCACATGTTTACATATGTTTATTACAGTGGCTTTGAATTACCTAAAGTAGTGTGGTAAAGCAACAGATTTGTTTTTATATTTATCTACTTTAGTTTGTGTGATTTGTTACTGACTTTCATATTAATGTTTACACCAGGCTTATTTGTCAGTGCTTTATGTTGTCATAATTATTACATGCTTACAAGGTTGGAAGTTATACTAGTCAATAGTATATAGTCAATATACTGTGATTGTAGTTGTTAAATAAAAATGTCATTCATATCAATTCATGCGTCACCTAATTTCATCGTAACATATAGGCCTGGCCTATAAGAACATTTATGTTTAATCTATCTAATAGGGTGTTGGTCATACTATACAATGATTTATAGCTTGTATTTGTTGAATAATACAGAACATAAAGAGCTTTAAAAAATAATTGCATACTAAATCGCAATCGCAATATTGGTAAAAAAAAAATCGCAATTAGATTATTTTTCAAAATCGTTCAGCCCTAGTTTGAAATCAAATTTGAAATTAAGCTTCCTTGTGCTGTAAGCTTTTGCAACAAAGTTACCCTATTTTAAAGACACACATACACAGAATGAGCAAATGTTTAAGATTGAGATTTTTGTAATGTAATTAATCAATATTTATATGTAAATAAAATGTGTCTTTTTAGAAGACTTGGATTAAACCAATTTCAAAGCTTGAAAAAATGGATGTGCAAAAAAAATTTAAAATATCTATATACAGTAGTATGTGTTAGTTTTGCCAATGGTATTGAAAATTATTAGTTGTCATGAAATCAAAAATGACCCTACTTACTTTTTAGTGCACATTACTAGTCTTGTGGTGAACAATTGAACCGTGCAAGTCAATACACTGGAAAAAAATTGTCTACCGTCGTAATCTTCAATCAAAAACTGAAAATTGGCTGCCGCTCTGGAATGGCGTTCTGGCTCTGATGACATCAGTTTGATGGCTTCGGGAGAATGCGCTTGTTAATTCATGAAGTAAGGATTGCTGTTTCCGGGTCCAAGCCTCTACTCATTTCACTTGAGAATACTATCTGAACAGCCATTTATGAACATTATTTTATTAATATTACATATTAAGCTAAGCATTTAAAAATTTGCTGTGCACACTACAGTCTCCGTGCTCACAGTGTCTCAGACACTAATATTTTAGCTGAATCACTGTAAGACTATCTGGGATTTCAGTATGGAGATAAAGGTTATGCCGAGTTCACACTGCACGATTTTCAAGACGTCGCATCACTGTTGGTTTCATACTGAACGACTATCTGTAGCATTCAGTAGTTGCTGTGTTCACACTGCACGATGGAACGACGACAGGAGTTATACAAACTGCATGACTTTACAATAGGAAGAATCGCCGACAGCTTTGTCTGGTGCAGGGTTGCCAGGTTTTTGCTACAAAACACCCCCAATTACTACTCAAAACTAGCCTGAAAATAGCCCAATTGCTTTCGAGGGGGTCCCCCAGTAAAAATCGCGTTCCGGGGTAAAATAAATATTTTTTGGCGGGGTTCTCCTGGTACAATTCACATTCCAGGGCCTAAATATCATGTTATTGGGGTCGCTTCAACCTGCTGACATAAAAAACAACTGGCGGCAATCGCGGATTTGGCAACACTGGTCCGCAAACTACGTTTCATATAATTCCTCCCGAACTTCCCGCTGCCCTGTATCTTGGTCTCTCATTGGCTGTAGGTAATCGCAGATGTGTTTTTCAGTCAGAACTCATTTCACACAGCGTGATTGTGAATCGCCGACAGCTCCAGATATTTAGCATTCCAAATATTTCACAGGTGACACATCGGCGATTCCCTCAGATTGCGTCTTTGATTATTCACACAGGGTGAACACGAGCACCGATTTGCCTCCGATTTCAGGCATTTGTCGGCGATTTCGCGAAACCTGTCGGCGAGTGAAAAATGGGGCTAAAATCGTGCAGAGTGAACTCGGCATTAGGGTTATAATTTTTCAGTATTACATGACATCGTGGGTGTATATTAGCACAGGTTGTTGTTTTTTGGGGGTGTCAGGCAGAGCGTTAGGACCCAGAAGCGGTGAAGCGTGATATCAGACGTAACAAGCAGATATTCTTAACCACTATCCAACTGTGAATCTGCTATGAGCAAGACCTCTGGATTGGAGGTGCACCACAATAAAACCCTGCCCTTTATTCAATATTCTGTTTCACTTGGAAATACATCCCAACACTGAAGTCAGTTGCAACTTCCAGCTCACGGGTACTTTGATCATTATATTTTTCAAGGTATTGGAGTTAGAAATTCCTGTATCATGACCACTAATTCACATAAGGGTTATAATTTTTCAGTATTACATGACATCGTGGGTGTATATTAGCACAGGTTGTTGTTTTTTGGGGGTGTCAGGCAGAGCGTTAGGACCCAGAAGCGGTGAAGCGTGATATCAGACGTAACAAGCAGATATTCTTAACCACTATCCAACTGTGAATCTGCTATGAGCAAGACCTCTGGATTGGAGGTGCACCACAATAAAACCCTGCCCTTTATTCAATATTCTGTTTCACTTGGAAATACATCCCAACACTGAAGTCAGTTGCAACTTCCAGCTCACGGGTACTTTGATCATTATATTTTTCAAGGTATTGGAGTTAGAAATTCCTGTATCATGACCACTAATTCACATACTTTGTCAACAAGATAAAAGTGGGTTTTGTTCAAAGTAGATATTATCCACATAGATCTCTGATATGAATGAATATTTTTTGGCAATTCATTAAATATCGCAGACTAAAAAGTAACTAGTAACTAGTACTCTGAGTAGTTTTTGAGAGGAGTACTTTGCACTTTTACTTAAGTACTGTTTTGGCACCAGTGCTTTTACTTGTAATTGAGTATTATTTCAGCAATATAACAGTACTTGTACTTAAGTACAAATTTTCAGTAGTCATTCCACCACTGCTATACACGTTAGATGTAATTCACCTCATAGTAACAATCCTGTCAGATCGTCCATCCTCTGAGTGAGAGTGTAACGTTACAGGTCGGCCGATCTGGTTTCGAGGTTAAAGTTAACCTTTTTCGACATGTTTCCGTGTTGCCGTTGCTCAGCAATAGCATGGACGCGATTTTGTCTGGGGGTTTGGCAAAAGGAGAGTGGGACGGTGGGCGGTGCTCGGGGTGGTGACTGAAGGCGGTGACTGTGTAGTTCTGATGTCACCTTTTTACGGAAGTCACAACGGTTCGTGAAAAATCACAGCTACTTTATGCAGGCTGTGTGAATTTTTACTGTGGACTGACTGTTTTGAAACTTATATGGACGTTAAATACCCCTAGTTAAAGACCTCAGTTATCATGAAAAAAGCCAGGAAATTTCAGTTTTGACAACATGGGACCTTTAAATTGTTAAAGATATCCTTGTTGTTTACTCTAATCTAGCAGATAATGAAAGAGCACACCCGACAATGATGTCATTACTGCTTTTCTGTAGATGGCGTCAGCACAGCATATAAGCTCTACAAGGTGGACTTCAGACTCGTGCTTTGCTAGTAAATGTATGTAAGTGACAAAAACTGGTCCACATTGTAAAACATTGGAAGGATGAATGTGTAGTGCAGAAATGGAGCACACAGACTCTCTCTGCTGGTGAACACCACAATAATCTTCACTAATGACATTTAAGGTTTTTGTGGGCCATCTGAAACCACTTTTGTGGAATTAGGTAAATTTCATATTAGTCACAGGAATTATGTTTACATATAGACATATTACATATTTTGTGTCAAACATTTATTAACTTATTTTTTTCAAAATGCCATTTTAATGTATTATTCATTTTAGAGAGTTGAGTTTATTATGTGTTAATGTCATGCTGACCTATGTATACACTAATAGACATTTTTAGGACATATGCCATTAGTTATCAGTGCTTTCATCTCGTCTCTGCAGGTGTTTGGCTTTGATGCTGTAAATAAACTGGAGAGTTTCCTGTCTCCTGTAAGTAATGCATGTTGTGTGTGTGTGTATATATATATATGTATGTATGTATGTATGTATGTATGTACGTGTGTGTGTGTACAGTACATCCCCTCAGTAAGGCGTCTTGATGTATGGGGAGGAGTTCATCAGCACTGACAGATATTGTTTAGATATATATGGTGAAAGTCAGAAAAGCGTTCTCTGATTTGTCACTGAAGTTGTTTGATGGTTTCCTCTGTTGTGTCTAATAAGGTAATAGCGAGTGTGATTGGAGGGGGTTGGGCCTCTTTCTCTCTCATTAAGTGGGGTGAGAGGATGCCTGTATTTCTGTATCATCAGTGCGGAGAAGCTTGTACTGGGTGTTGAGTTAATCATGCTGAGGACGATGAGAAGATGCCTGATATTAATTTTACTGTCTGTAGCTGAAATACCCATCGCAGCTGGTAAGTACACTAGCTGGGAGAGTGGATTAATAATATTGCAAGAAATGCAATGCAAATTTTAACTTTTTTTCATCTGACTCTGACTTTCTTATTTTTTCACGGCTCATTCTCTGCTTAATATACAGGCCATGCGAATGTGAGGTTGGTTGGTGGACACAGTCGCTGTGCTGGTAGAGTGGAGGTTCTTCATAGAGGTCAGTGGGGAACAGTGTGTGGTGATTTCTGGGATTTGGCTGATGCTGCAGTGGTGTGTAGAGAGCTGGACTGTGGAGAACCTGTAGATGCTCTAGGTAATGCTCATTTTGGACCAGGATCAGGACCAATATGGATGGATGGTGTGTATTGTAGTGGTTTTGAGTCTACACTGAAGAACTGTGGATCAGCGGGATGGGGTAAACATGACTGTAATCATACCAAAGAGGCTGGGGTCATCTGCTCAGGTGTGTGGCTGCATTTGGCATCTTCCAGAAATTTGCATGAGCGCTCTTACGTAATTTTTTTAATAAAATATTTTAAGTAGTATAAATGTATGTTATTAACACCTAAGATTCAATTTATAATAAAAAATAAATAATTATTTAAAAATGTAATGTAAGTCATTGATAAGCAGTTATAACTGCATGGATAAAAAGGGTGATTATACTGCAATACCTGCCAACAAATGAGCCATGTTATAGATACTTAATAAATATATTTATTCATACTTATTTCCCTCAAAACCAGATTCCTGATTTATTTCCTGATGCAGCAAAAATATTATAGGCTGACTATTATAGAGAGACTGAAAGGTGTTGAATCTGTGGGTTTTCTCATTGATATCTCATGACTCATGTCACTTTTCTTACTATGTTGCTTATGAGAAGCTACTCTGCATCTTATCCATGATACTCTGCAAAAGTTCATGATGTCTATTCACAGTAGGGTGACCATACGTGCCATTTTCCCAGGACGCGACCTGGCCAGGATTTGTTTTGGCTTTGTTTTCCTGTTTTCATACTTGCTGAAGGTAATGATCGAAAAGTAGTTTGGCCAATAACATGCAAGCATTGTACATAATGGACCAATCATGGCGTGTGAGAAGGTGGGATCTACGGTCAAAGCTATGCAATTAGGCATACATATTAGGTGTGTTCGACTTAAAAGCAGTGCGGCTCAGACCGATCAGTGTTTGACATCAAAGTACCTCGAGAGCGTTTCGAAAGCATAACAGTCTGTATGGTACTTTGATGTCGATTGGCTGATGCTGCAGTGGTGTGTAGAGAGCTGGACTGTGGAGAACCTGTAGATGCTCTAGGTAATGCTCACACCGATCGATCTGCATACGCAAACAAAGCCAAAACCTAGATATTTTAGGCAATATAGAAATCCTGGCCAGGACGCGTCCTGGGAAAATGGCACGTATGGTCACTCTAATTCACAGCAATGTATCAAGAGGAAATTATAAAATTTATATTGGAAAAAAAAAATCCAATATTAGTTACCTGCGAACCTTGATGTAGGGTGAACAATTTATTTATGAATTGCAAATGTTAATAACATGTGAAAGTGAATCCTAATATTAAGTTGACACCTGTGAACCATTTATTCATTAGATGTAAACATCAATTACCTGTGAAAGTGAACCTTAATGTAAAGTGGACACTGCTTTTGTAGTTTTAATAATCAGTTTATTTGTAATGAACACACTGAAGTTTTTACATTTTGACTATTGGTTTTTCTTACTTCAATGCTTTTGTTGAGATGAAAAATGAAAAAAAGCCTATTTGTTTCTTATATTTGTTCTACTGTTTTTTTTATTTTTAATTTTTTTTGCATCTGTTCTTATTTTTTACTGATCCTGTTAGAGTAGACTACTACGGTGACGCATTGCTGCCACACAAATATTTTTTTCCCACTCAATTAAGTCGTAATAACGAGATGTTATGTCGTTTTAACGACATCTTTTCTCGCTAAAACGACATCTTTTCTCGTAATAACGAGATGTTTTCTCGTTAAAATTACATATTTTCTCATAAAGAGATCTTTTCTCGTTAAAACGTCATCTTTTGTTTTCTTGTTAAAACTACATCTTTTCTCGTTTTAACGACATCTTTTCTCGTAATAACAAGATGTTTTCTCGTTAAAACTACATATTTTTTCTCGTAAAAACTACATGTTTTCCGTTATTATAGATAGGCTATATGGTACATTATGTGAGCGAGCTAAGCAACTGTCCGCGCTGCTGTCGCCACAGTCTGACATAAACGAGGATCTGCACGCTGCTGAAATGATTGAAATACACTGTTTTAAATGTATTTTAATGTAATGGTTTTAATTGTAGGCATGTTTATTAGGATTAATCTCCAATCTGTCTACAATATAGTGCTATCCAATAACTGCACTCAGACCCATGACTCCTTTAGGCTATGATCAGATCAAAACTGTTATTTTCGACTCTGGGCTTAATATTTCTTTATTTGAATGACTGTGTTTGATTTAACAACAAATCGAAATAGGGACAAAAAGAAATAAAGAGATTTTCTAATAGGCTAATAATAATAATAATAATAGCGTAATAATAATAATAATTTTACTGATCCTGTTAGAGCAGACTACTACGGTGACGCATTGCTGCCACACAAATATTTTTTTCCCACTCAATTAAGTCGTAATAACGAGATGTTATGTCGTTTTAACGACATCTTTTCTCGCTAAAACGACATCTTTTCTCGTAATAACGAGATGTTTTCTCGTTAAAACGACATCTTTTCTCGTAATAACGAGATGTTTTCTTGTTAAAATTACATATTTTCTCATAAAGAGATCTTTTCTCGTTAAAACGTCATCTTTTGTTTTCTTGTTAAAACTACATCTTTTCTCGTTTTAACGACATCTTTTCTCGTAATAACAAGATGTTTTCTCGTTAAAACTACATATTTTCTCGTTAAAACGACATATTTTCTCATAATAACGAGATGTTTTCTCGTTAAAACGAC